GACTCAAAGTTGACGCAAACTATGGCACTATTGTGGCGTTCCAAGCGGATTTAGCGTGTACTAAGCGTCGGGAGTGTTTCCCCTAGCAGCAAGTAGACGCACTTTCAGGATTTTTTCCCAAAATGAAGTTTAATCCAGCTCTGCTATTGTGTTTCACTATGCTTTTGCAAAGGAGGCGTAATAGAAGGGACAAGGAAAAGCAACGAGTAAGGAAAAGGCCCTGGAAGCTTCCCCATCTTTATCTGCATGAAGAGCAGGGAGTTTTTCCCAACCTCATCCAGGAGTTGAGATGCAATGAGGAGGAGAAATTTAGAAATTTCCTACGTATGCCACCAAAGATTTTTGATGAATTACTGGTGTTGGTAACACATTTAATTAAAGTACAGAACACCTCCTTCAGAGCCAGCATATCTCCAGCAGAAAGGCTTGCTATCACTCTTCGTTTTTTGGCAACTGGTAAGGACTTGGCCTTTGTTCACCACCCACTTGTTATCCGTTCTGTAGTATCTTGTGTGAACATCCACCCAAATTTTGCACTCTAGACTGACTAAAAAGATTGTTGAACATGTACTCCTATGCACTGCTATTTGCAAGATAAATAGACCCTTAACTATTGTCTGTAATTAAAAAAAATTAAGAATAATTTTAAATGAGCATGAGCATGAGCATGAGTTTAATTAAAAAAACGTACCATTCTAAAGATTATTAAGGCAGTTATTTCTGTGTAGATGGTATATTGTATCAGACTTTATTTACAAATATTCAGACATCTGAGTAAAAATATTGATGAATTTGTGGGAGAAATGCAGTATCTGGGGAGTGAGATGCCAAAAAGTCAAATAAAACGGCATAGAGTTTAGGATGGGAACTACCCCCACCAGCAATCAAAATCCAGACAACTCACTCTCGCGTGTCCTCTTCGCATTCCCCACCTATATTTCTGTAATTATTCAGTGACCAGTTGGGGAAAGTAACCAAATAAAACGTCGCACTCGATAAGTTCCGATTGTAACGATTTGTAACCGATCACGATGCAAACCTTATATAGATACAAGTAAATACAAGTGAATACAAATCAACCCCGAACGCGTGAGGCGTCTCACGCTTGACTAGGGTTTACTGAAACCTAAGAGGCTCCACACGCGCTTTAATAATTCGTAAACAACAGAATGCCTCTGAACCAGCTATGATTGAACGTGATACTTAAACAGGAAAATTGTGGGAATCAAAATCCACACACAGGAGTGGCACCACCAATAGCACGCATCAGGGTATGCAAATAACATGTAGACACAATATTAATAGTATTAGTACACATATCACCCCATATGACGATTACAATGTGAGCACGACTAGGGTCCAATTCAGAATCTGCTAAGCAGTAAGTAATTATGTTTTAAGTAGGACCCCTAGCATATTACAACCACGCTTGAACAACAAGGAATTACTTAATTCAGCACTACACAGCACCGCCAGTATGAACAATTGTCTACCCTTCAAAACCTTATGAATAATGCCTGATAATGCTAAATAGGCCTACCTTGCCACTGACAACATCGGTTACCACTTGGGTTACCCAAATTAAAACTAAAACAAAATATAAATGTAACTGAAGCAATAAACGAGACGATGCCGAACAGTTCGCGTAGTCGCTTGTACTTGTTCAGGCAGAAACAAAAGAAGTCAACAACACGATACTCCGGCTCCGGTGACGCTAAACGTTGGCGCGACGGGAAAATCCTCGACTCGAAAATAACGACTCGCCGAATAAGTTCAGGAAAACTTGTCCTCGCAATACCTTGCTGCCACAAATAGTTGGACGAGTCAACCGTAGATCTGCATAGTGGTGCATAGCACAGTTACAGAGAAACGGGTTAACAGTCCCGTCTCGAACAGTGAATGTGACGTACGAAAACTGATAGGCCTACAGTTCGCATACATTCAATGTCCACAGCTGCACAGCACAGTTGTAATGCGGTCCCAGCTAACGATCTTGATCACGTAGGTCGTACTGTGTGACGACCCGAGAAGAAACAGGGCTGTACAGTCACTCTTTAAAAGCTGGAGATAACACGGAAACAAAGTCTGTCGCCCACATCACATAATAACACAGATGTTTGACGTTTTCTCTCTCCGAGACCGAGACCGATAGTAGTTCTCGACGCAACCCGAATCATGTCATGTGCAGAGTGCCCGCCAAAACCAAAAATGGCGCGCCTACGCCAGTAAGCGTCAGAATCACTACCGTGATTGGCTAGTGTGATTACGTAAAACGATTCTGATTTGCTTTGGTGGAATAACAAGAATTATGCAAAATACATATTCATGACCCCCGTATGACTATGATTTTATTATAGAGATCAGTGCATGACCCCCGTATCCTAGTGGTTAGGGTTGGGTTTAGGGTTAGGGTTAGGGTTAGGGTTAGGGTTAGGGTTAGGGTTAGAGTTAGGGTTAGGGTTAGGGTTAGGGTTAGAGTTAGGATTAGGGTTAGAGTTAGGGTTTTGTTTAGCCCGCTACACATGATATGCACGAGTACATTCACTCATGATGTATACACAGTGAATAACTGCTTAATTTAATAACATACAAATTAAACTGCCTGACACCTTTTTGACAAAATAACCCAAAAAGGCACCCAGTAATGACATAAGCCTATATTGAAAAAGGTACCCCATCCCATTTCTTCTTCTTTTTTAATGCATATCACTTTCATTTACCTATATTTGGCCCCATAAATCTCTGGATATGTTATTATTCATAACAAATCAAAAATGTGGATATGGTTTTTAATAATAATTGTTTAATTTGCATCATTTTTCAAGGTGAGACTTATCGCAGCTTGTCCTACACGTTCCGAGTGGGAGAGACAACAATTGGACTGTTGGTCCCCAAGACCTGCAGTGCAATTTACCAAGTTCTACAGCCAGAGTTCTTGAAAGTACATATTAATTAATAATAAATGCACATAGTAATTAAAAATATATAATAATAAGTGCATGCTTATTTTCATATTTTTTATTTATATATGAGTGAAATACTTTATTACAGAGTAACTTCAATTAAGGTTCAATACCAATACACATGTGAGAAATAAATTAAAACAATAAAACAAAAACCGTTACTTATATAAAAATAAGATTATAATATAAATAAAATTTCACTTGTAACCCTATTAAATTATTTATATATTATTTATTTATATATAAATATTTATATATATTGATTTCATGCGATGTGATTCATGAGATCAGTAAAAGTAGCATTACCAGGTGCAGGGTGCTCGTAGGGGCCATTGTTGGTAGATGTTGAAGATTGGATATATGGCTCTACGTTGGGGTAAAACTGGTTTTGTGAGGCATGTTGGTTATAAACGGAAAACGATCTCTCTGAGCTAAAACCTGACATGCGTCCCCTGAAGCATGCCTGCTGAATTTCATTCATTACCATTATCCTCATGCTTCCATCATTAATTTCTCTTAACTGCTTAATGATGTATTTTCCGAAAATTGATAGCTCATCTTCGGGCTCTTCTTGATGTTTCTCAAGTGTTGCCTTCATAGTTGAGAGCAAATCGAGTTCTGCCTTCTGCACAGATTCTATGCTATCTCTCCCCCTCTTCTTTGATTCTCTCCTTGTGGTGATTGGTGTATCAATATCCCATGCTTGTTCCTTGTTCTCTGTGGTACAGGAAGAATTATCACTGACCGAACAGGGGGAGTATAGAGTATTAGATTGGGTGTTCTCATTCTCCACTTCCTCCTGTACCTCGTCGGGTGTAACATTTTCTTTTTCAGAATCATCATCTGTTGTCTGCTGAAAATAAAATAAAAACATGTCATATTTATCTGCCATTACAAAGTTTTGCTATGATATATTTCAGTGTCCACAGACTAAGGAGGAGTGGAAAAGCGTTGCAAAAGGGTTTCAAGAAAAATGGAACTTCCCCAACTGCATAGGGGCATTAGATGGGAAGCACATCAACATCCGACCTCCCATACATTCAGGCAGCAAATACTTCAACTACAAGCAACGGTTCAGCATTGTATTAATGGCCCTGGTAGATGCCGACTATAAGTTTCTGTATGTGGATGTTGGTTGCAATGGAAAGGTGTCTGATGGAGGTGTATTTCGTGCATGTACACTTGATCAGAGCATGCGGGACAGAACTGCAAACATACCAGATCCAACACCATATCCAGGGGATGATACTCCCATGGCCTACACAATCGTAGCTGATGATGCCTTCCCCCTAAGAGATGATATTATGAAACCCTACCCTTATCGTTCAATGGAGCTGGACAAACGTGTCTATAATTACAGGCTGTCTCGTGCCCGAAGGGTAGTTGAGAACGCTTTTGGGATCATGGCAAATAAATTCCGGGTTCTTCTGACTAACATCGCCCTCCCACCAAAAACTATAGATAAAATAGTTATGGCATCATGCGCCCTTCACAACTATTTGCACGTTAAGATTGGGAATGGGTATATGGCAAAAGTTGGAGACAGTGAGGATCCTGCAACACATGATATAACCGCGGGTTTGTGGCGTAAAGATCCACAGATTGAACAGGCAGCTCTGAACCCAGGTACGAACCCAACGAAGAAGGCCAAAGCTCATAGAGATCTGCTAAAGTCATACTTTAATTCTGAGCTGGGGGCTGTTGACTGGCAGTGGGGCAAATGCTAAATATGCTATGTCACATAGTGAAGTAATGAAATAATTAAAAAATGATAAAATAATTTGTGTTTATTATTTATTGTCCCATAAAATGAGAAACGATCAGAATAATTGCAGCATATTATTAATTTCCCCCATGGCATCTCTTGTAACATGTATTTATATTTTCTATCTGATAAATAAATTCATATATATATTTTACTGAAGTGAGAAAGAATTCCCGTGACGAAAACTGTTTCGGGAATTTTTATTTGGCCGGCTTGCCGGATGTAAAAGGCAGTCATAAGGCCACTTGGTCTTGTCCGTTCAGTTTGAGCTACAGCACCACAGGTCAGCAGGAATTCAATTACCCACGGTTAGTTAAAAAGACACAGTGCTACGGAATCTGGTAAGGCAGAGATATCTAACCGATTTGTTGACCTCTTGAGACTAAAAAGAAATCACCACCAGCGCCACCTCTTATTACATTACATCTACCACCACACTAAGGAGCCGACCTAAGCAGACTACACACAAAACTATAATACTATATCAATTACCAACTAAGGTATTAGAGCCAGTTGTCAGCCAGTCAGGTGCCATGACAAAAAAAACAGCTAAGCCCCCCCCCCCCCAAATTGCTGTTCGGACTCTGACAATCTTGCACTGTGCACAGGGAACTTCCGACGTATTCACTTGCGCACGCAACGCGGTCCGCCTTGCACTCCCGCCTCAACACGCCTAGCTACTCACGACACTCACTGCCTCACCGCGGTAGGTTTAAGGTTCGTTTAGTCATTATGATTTATCATTTTTTATTATGAAGTATGTTCTAGGGTTAGGGTTCTAGGTTAGAGTTAGGGTTAGGATAGACCGATAATGTCGTCCATATACACTTTGTTAATTTTCCTGGTGAGGGTTCTTGGATATAACGAATAACTAGTGATGTACACGATTCATCGATTATACTCGATCATGCGGTTGAACAGTGGCTCGAACGCAAGCGCTTGGTTATCACAATGCGCATAATCGATTTAATCGAAAAAAAAAAAAAATCAGTACAATGCTCATAACTATTATACACACAGTAGTAAACAGTTGCAAACAAACAGTAAAGCAGGGGCTAAACAAGCATATACATGCACCAGCGTACATGCCAGCGACGGTATGAAATGCAGGCAACACAACGCCGCACGAACCCGATAAACGCATTGTAACGAATCATCGGTTACTTGGGTCCAGCCGATGATCCGATTACGAAATTACACGATGACAACACTACCAATAACCCTGCACAAAATATAAAAAAGGTATATGGGAGCAAATTATTCGCGTCTAGGGTTAGGGTTAGGGTTATGTTTAGGTTAGGGTACACTTCTGTAGTACAAGTCNGAGAGAGAGAGAGTAATCTACTCTGTCACTTTTATTAGTGACCATTACATTATTGTTCTAAATACTTTTATTGTTTGGTTTGTATATACTAACTAATGTAATCCACGCTAACTAATGAACATTATGATCATATAGAATAATATGCTTTTTTTTTCAAGGTATGTTATCAGTGGGCACGTTCAAGTAGTGATGTACCATTTCATCTCAGAAGACAGCCCTTTCTGTGCCCTAAAAGCAAAGGTGACACCATCTCAAAGATTGAGAGATAAGCCTCATCTACCGTGGGTGTACATTGACAAGTCAACCGCAAGTGTATTTTGTGGACACTGCACTTGTATGGCGGGGTATGTATACTACTACAACTGCTTCTACTTTACATGATAATGATTATTATATGATTATTATATTTTATTATATGATAAATGATTTATTATTAAGTGTGGCATCAGCCTGTCGGAGAGTAGTTGTCTATGTTAGAACATAATCGTAAGGGCCAATCGATTTTAATATTTAACATGTAAGAGTTAGTGGGTATATGATATATTCAGTATGTAGTGATCTACCACGTCGGTGCATGTAACAGTATTAGTATATTTGTGGCTATGTGCATTGTTGACAGACTCGGTGAAGTTTGCAGTCATGTAGCAGCACTCCTGCTAAAAGTCGAGACAGGTGTCAAGTTGGGTCTGACAGTAAAGTCATCCACAAGTCAAGCATGTGAATGGAATAAAGCATTCCGGAAAGATGTAAGTATAGTGTGTTTAACGTGCTATCAATTAATAGTTAATTACTTTGTGGCTGTAGTAAGTATAATTGTTTATGATATTGTGGCGATCCAGCCTGTGTTCCAGGGTACGGCGTGTCACTCGCGGACATAGCCCCTGCGTCGATCGTCAGAGTTGGCTAATCGCGTTTTGTCTTAACCAATTGCATAATTTTTTTATAGATACAACCAGCCACTGTTGCAGACTCCCATGCCATCCTAAAAGGTGCGCGGAAGAAAACCGTGACTTCCGTATCTGGTACCGGGAAAGCTCCACTTCCGGATGATGCTGTCCTTCTTACACTAAAGCAGGCTTGTCCGGATGCTGTGTTCTTTGACACAATCTATCCCATTGGTGATGATGGTGAAGACACAGACAGTGCAGAAGAGGAGGAACGATGTGAGACATATCCTCAGACACTGACATCGATCAGTGATCCTGAGTTCAGTGGTGACCTCACTAAAAGGTGTACTGACGTTTGGTCACGCTACCAATGTTCAGAATTGCAGGTAGCAAACTTGGAAAGGCGAACATTGTCACAGTCAGTGTGCCCTCTGTGGTTTGAACACCGCAAAGGACGCATTACTGGGACGAAAGCCCATTCTGTTGTCCACAGGAGGGAAACAACAGATCCCTGCAATTTGATACGGCAGATTGTGGGCTATGTATCCATGATCTGTCTAAGTTAAAACCTATAAAATGGGGTATAGACAATGAGAGTGTCGCACGAAATGCCTATGTAGCGAGAGAGTGTGTAAGGCACACACATTTGGTGCAGCGAGGTAGGATTTCAGATCGACAAGGATGAGCCATTCTTGGGTTGTCAAGTGACGGTGTTGTAGACTGCCATGTTGTGGCAAAGGAATTATCGAAATTAAGTGTCCTCACAAGCATGCCAATGTCGATTTGACAACAGCCGTTGTTGGAGACAAACTATTTATGTTGGACTCGAGTTTAAATCTGAAGTTACAGCACCCATATAACACACAGGTGCAGATAGGTATGCGTGTACATAGGGTGAAATACTGTGATTTCATAGTGTGGACAACACGTGATTTACACATAAGAGCGAATCAGATATGATGCAGAGTTTTGCAAGCATGCAACAGCAATCTGCAAGGATTTTTTCATGCACATATTCTACCGACGCGAGCTGATAACACGAAGGCTTGAGGCACAAAGCGACTCAGGAGCCACCTCTCTCACTGTGGAAACTGAGGAGGTGTGGTGTATTTGCAGAGAGCCTGCATACGGGCGCATGATTAACTGTGATAATCTTGATTGCGCTGTAAGTTGGTGTCACTACAAGTGTGTCGGGATACGAAGAAAACCACAGGGGAACTGGTTTTGTCCTGAATGCGCTGGAGATCGATAAGGCCAAACAAAGTTAAATGTTCAATCATTCTAGTAGTGTGGGTAGCTGAGTTGTTGCTGTGTCGTGATTAAAGGGACAGTAGCCTCTAGGATTTTACTGCATACAACTGTACTTACTGTATAACAAATCGTCTATACCCACACGTATTTGTTACCAGATACCTAATTTAATTGTTATAATTAGTTACACATCAACGCTACGAAATTTGAACGGCGCCATGACACCCCGCGACCGTGCTGCACCCCGAAAAAAGTTGCGTATTTGACAATTTATTTTGCAGCGTTACAGACCGAGGGCTAATCACAAAAGTGGCAATTACATTTATACATAAATGGCTATTTAACCGAACGAGTATTCATTAGGGCAAATTTATCCATATTATAACTGAAACTATATATGTCGTTTATAAGATATTACAATCCTTTTGCTTTTAAATGATAAATAAGAAACAACCCTCGATCTGTAGCCCTTGGCTGGAAAGTGGTTTTGCGCAACTTATCAGAGATCGTGCGCGTTTGAGTGGCGCCACCGTCGTTGTAATCAAAACTGTAATGCGTTAGTTTTAAAACATTTAAAAAAAAAGTCAATGGTGATTGAACCATGAAACTTTTTATGTAGCCGTAATTATAACCTAAATTAGCTGAAAATAACCCTAGAACCTAGAGTAAACTCTCCCTTTAATTGTGTCATTGTTAATGCGTTAAAGAGTTGTCAAGTCTCAATTATTACAATTGTTAGCATATAGGAAAACAATGTAGTCAAATTTTGTTTGAAAGTGTTTAATCATAATAGAACAGTTAATCGTTGTAGACCTGAAGGTGTACTAATAACTATACATGTTAGTAATTGGTAAATAAAGAACTCTTGTAAAACATATTTTCAAGACTTTGAATGAATCCATCCATTTATCGCAGGCATTATAATATGCATTATAATAAATATGTACGTATCAATAACAAACATTAGCCTCTGAATAGAATAACAATTAGACCGATAATCTGTAACGGGTGGATAAAAAGTTACATGCACAGCATTCATGTAATTTATAAGGAGTTACATGCACAGAAGAAAAGTTTCATGAACGAGTGTCTTCACTGATTCGGGAATTAACCGACCGAAAATTATGGCGTATACAGTCATACAGTACATATACCAGGTAAATTGAACTCTGCATTATGAATTGCAATCGACAGCACAGCATCTATTGATTTTTACAAGTCGTGGCTGGCACAATTACTTATGGCGCTGAGCATATTGTGACACATGTTTGCTGCATGCATCAGCCATGTTCATGGAAATTGTGCTACTCAATATTCTGAAAGTTCTTTATGCGCTCAATTAGCAGCGTCGACATGAATGCGAACATGGGCGAGTTTTTCTCAGTCATTTTCAACCAAGTACTCCCTCTGGCTG